TTCGCGACCAGAGTCACAGAACGAATTAAGTTCGTGAACCGAGGTACCACTGTATATATAAGGTAGGAAACAACCAGCCTGTGTAAATAAACCATCAACAGGAGTTTTTGCCAGTTTTTAGGAACATATTACTAAATTCTGTCAAGGAATTGACCATGAAAGATTCTTGTGAATGTTCCCAATAACAGAAGATTCTTCAATTTCCTTTTCTGATTTCTTACACCACTGCTATAGTTCCCTTGTTTTTACCTTCAGAAGCCCTTGAGCACTCTCAGAATTGTGCAAGTTAAGAGTGACTGTGCATGTAATAATTACACCATTTCATTATTGGGAGAACATGATATATGAAAAATGGATATACTGCTATTCTCATCTAAGTACATTTGCTTCCATGACTGCATGAAATAATATGATGTCAATTACTTCCATGTGTGGTGTGAGAGTACATGAAATTCATTTATTAATATTCTATATAATTTGTGGTAAGCTCACATAGCAGTGTTATACTGCATAGTGTCTTTCAAAAATGCAGTGGAGATTCCATTGTAAATGTTTATTTCATTCATCCTAAAAAAACCTCATCAATATATTTCTGAAATGGCATCTTTAAAATGAGGAACTCATTTTAGCAAATAAGATTGTTGCTAGTGTTTTCCGTTTAACGCACAACATTATTTGCAGCCCATCATGAAACTTAATTCTGTTCATTAAAACATGTGAAATCTAAAGTCTTGAATGAAGAAAGAAACAGGACATAAAAGCAGCTTTATGCTTTTCGTGCCAAGGTTTGTGTGTGAACAATTTTAATTTCCTGTCCCTGCACAGGCATCATTTCTCCTCTCCAGGAACTTGGTTCTTGTTACATTTTGGCAAGTGATTGTTAGTGCTAACTGTCAGATTAAAACAGTTAGGAACTTTTCTCAGTGACCTAAAATGTTAAAAATAAGGGCAAAACATCTAAAGCATTTATAAAAAAGATTATTTAGTATAAACAATCCAAAATTAATGCTTTCCTAAAAGTATGTGGAATGTCAGCCATGGCATGACACCAAAGTGATAGGGTGAGAGGCAGAAGACTTCTAAATCAAAATAAACAAGACGGGAAAACTATGCTTATTTAAGTTTATGTCTTGATTATCACTTCCTCTTTTTTGAGTGTAGTTTTCAAAGTTTAAGAGTCTAGAAAGAAGAAAAAAATTGATACTAGAATATACCATTAAGAATATAAGGCAATATAAGGCAATTTTCCATTGCTTTTCCCAAAAGCAGACAATCAGATAACATTGGGAATATACTTACAATATATCCTTTTTTAGTTACTTAGTGTTCAAAAAATCACATCTGTCTATAAAGGTCTTATTTAGCTATAAAGATTAATAGTTACTGATCTATTCTGTTTTTAAAGCCTTTTAAAATACTTACTATTATGACAACTGCAGGTAGTAAATTCTTTTAGTTAATTAGATACTGGGTAAAAGAGTATTTTCACTGTCTGTTTTCATTAGATGATTTATTAACAGATCCATGTGAATAATTTCCTTTTCTGATCCAAAGTGCTGGCATGTGCTCTTACAGTAAAATCTATCAAGATGTAATGGCTATTGATTTCTGTCCATCCATCATTACTTCATAGTCTGTGGATTGTACTGTGCATCACTTTCTTCATTTATATATGTTGATTTTTGCCTGCTTTCACCAAAAATGAGTCTTCTTTACCATAAATGTAGTTGCCAATTAATACATCAAAATTTGCATCTTCTTCTGCTTGAAATACAACTAGACTCTGATTTCATTATGAAGATGGGATCCCTGCCTTCCAAAATAATTATAGTATCAGAAATTCACATCTCGTTGTTTATGCATTGGTAGCACTTTCTGTTGTCCAAGTCAGGAAAATCATCCTAAAAGATAGCACTTTTGCTGTTGTTATATTTAGCATGTGTGTGTGAGCATTGTATATAGCAGAATTTTATTTTAACCAGGTTTTTTTGTTTGTTTGTTTGTTTTTGCTAGACCACACAGTTCTCACATCAGTATGTGAAGATAAATAAGAATAGAAGCTTCTTGGAGTTAAACTATAAAATTATTTTCATAAATACATAAAGATATAAAATTATATATTTTATTAAAAATATAAAAATAATATAAAATGCTCCTCTATTGGGTATAATTGAGGATTTAGAGCTTAAATTGAGGAGGGATAGTCATGGTAGCCTCTAAAGCCTTAGGAAGTATATAGCTATGAGGATAACGTTAGGGCAATGATTAGTATAGTACACTATTATGTTTCCGGGTTTTGTAAATTTTCTATACCATTATAGATTCTTCACAATAACCAGGGTGGTAACTTTTCTAAGCATGGATTTTTAATCCCATTAAATATTGCTTGATCCTTTCATTTGGTTAGCCTGTGTACATTTTTATACATTTCTATAATGCTGTGAAATCTGATTCCAGTTTTGGGTAACAAAATGGTACCAGGCTTCAACTGTTTCTGGACATGCTCATTGTCTTGAGCTATTTTAGCAGCATTTCATGTAAAGATTTGGCACAAATATATAAAAAGCTGCTCCTCTGAATTTGTACTTAATGTTGAGACAAACTTAATAGAGTTCTTTAGAGTTCTGCATTCATTTCCTTAGGTTCTGTTTTTGAGATTTTAACTTCCTCCTTTTCTCTACCTGAAATAGGATTTGGAAACAAGAGATAGTAATATACTTTTGACAGTAATACTTAGGGCTTTTTAATGATCCATCAGTGTTTCCAACTTGGAACACTGTTAGATTTCTACTTTACCCTTGAAAAAGAAATTTCTAGATACACAAACATTGTAGTACTGCATATTATATATACAGTACAATTTTCACTATAATTTGTAGCATAGCATTTTATCCTGGCAGACATCAGCAAAAAGAGATTAAATTTTTTTTCTTGCCTAACGTATTCTGAAACTTATAAGTGTTTGAAGTAGATTTATGTTTTGAAATGTTAAATAAGTAAAACATGAATAATAATAAAAATAGACCATAGGAACCAATCCTATCAGAATGCAAGGCCACTACAGCCACAACATTTTGTTGGGGAGGCAGTTGAACCCTTATTAAGAAAGTAACCTGTGAATCTGTTCTATGTATATTCAAATTCCACTTTTTAAGATTAATGAAAGTACTGCTTTTTGTTGTTGTTTACCATGTCCACTCCCTCAGTTGGAAAGCTGTCTAATGAGACTTCTGAAA